ACAAGTTTTTATCTCCCAACAAAGTAGCATATAGATGATAAACAATAACTTCATATAGGTGCAATAGAATACGCTATTCACAAGGGAAGTTCAGTCAAAGTAAGTAACTGAAAATTTCGAAAAAGAGATACTATAATCTCTTGCACTACTATAGTGTAAACTGCTGAATGTCGAAAAACTTATATTTAACCTTTTTATAAGTTCTACATCTGAAACTCAACTGTTCGCATATTTTATCTGAAATTATGAGAATCATTCATAAGCTTCGTCATCTGAGTTGATCACTTTAAGCAGTGGAAGCACTTTGACTTGATAATGTCTATGATTTGCGATTTGTTCAAGAGTGAGATACTATTGGGCAATTGAATTCTCCTATAAAAAAATAGTTTGTTTAATATTTGAATAAACTATTTTGATTCCTATTCTTCTGTTTTTTGTTCATCATCTACTATGCCTAAGGGAAATCAATACACATCTTATGTAAAATCCTTGATGCTTCGGATAATAAAGTCTGTTGAGAGTGAAAAAGAAGGTCCAGTTACATCTATGTACAATGTGACCGATCGATTGATGCATATGTTAAATATTTCTCATGGATCACTTTTTTATTTGAAACAAGAATTAACAGCAACTGTGGAAGATCGAAATGCATCGAAAAGAACTTTGCGTCCAAGAACAACAACAGTTGAAGATGAAACAGAATTTTCGAGAGCAAAATCACCTAATAGATCTGGTCTTTCTGGTAGACCAAACATCGTTTTATCGGAATATGGAAAAGATATGTTAAGATATGAATTTCACGTGTTATTATCTGAAAAACAATGCCCAACGTTACATCGTTTATTGACGCGTTTGAAAAAAGACTTGCCTGCTTTTCCTATCAACAGCATTACAACATTATCTAAACATTTGAAAGAATTATGTTTTATTTACAGAAGAAATGCTTCTGTTAACACAATTTTAGATTTAACTTATTTCATTGCTGAAAGAGCAAGATATTTTCATCGGTTAAATGAATTAGTAGAAGAAGGTGCTGTAATTTATTATCAAGATGAAACATCGTTGAATCTCAATGAGGAGAGAAGAAATATTTGGATTGAATCAGGGTTTGGGTGTGGGTGTGGGTGTGGGTGTGGGTGTGGGTGTGGGTGGGTGTGGGTGTGAGGTGCGGGTGTGGGTGTGTTGGTGTGGGTGTGGGTATAGGTGTGGGTGTGGGTGTGGGTGAGGGTGTGGGTATGGGTGTGGGTGTGGGTGAGTGTGGGTGNTTTCGTATTTTCCTACGAAACCTTTTTTTGCTCTACGGAACTTAAAAAAAGGTTTCGCGGGAAAAGGTTCTTATTCTGGGTACACCGAAAGAACCTTTAAAGGTTTCGTAGATTTTTTTATCCTTTTTTTGTGACTTTTGACACATTTGGATGCTTTTCGAAATCTCCAGAACCTTTTTGGGGGGTTCAGTAAAGAGCCGATTTTTTTTAGAGTGTAGTTGTGTCAGTAGTGCTTGCTATTAAACTTTGTTTTCTTTTTACTATCTTCTGATACATCTTGAACACTGCAAAAGTTGGCCTACGAAGGGTTCTATTTTCTATTCAGTAAAGATGCCATCTTCAGAAAACATGTCGAGAACAAATCAGAACACGAGTCTTCAGCATCCATTAAACATAATATTGAAGTTCATGAAGTGATTAATGAATAGATAAACATGATAAATCTTCTTCATAATATGTAAAAAAAAAATTTCTTGATAGTTAGTTTTCTGAGATGATTGATTATTAGAAATGAATGATCTAAAGAAAGAATGCATTGCTCTTTTCCTTACATATTTATATGAAACTAGTCACTAATAATCGTATAAGCATTATTCTGAAAAGAAAAAAAAGGGCAGTGAATTAGTAATGAAAAACTGTCTGGCAGGCCTCTTGGTTTTGAAAACTTTTTTCGGCGCGCTATTTTCTTTTTCACTTCGTTTGTATATCAAAAGATGCAGAATTTCACGGACTTCCAGATTCTATCCTTGTTTTTGTGGCATCGACCTCCTTTGATAGTGTTTTCACCCAAAAACGGAAAAACAATTTTTTTTTAAATTGCGATGAAACTTTATTTTTTGAATCTTTGTTATTGATGATAAGTATCTATTAGCAATGTTTTATATAAGGTTTTGTAGAGCAGATTTTGTGCTATCGAATGGTATATAGCACTTATAGATTCAGTGAAGTTTTGATGAAAACATTTCACGTACAAAAAAAAATTCAAAAATCAGCATTTTTTGACACTTTCGATGAGCGTGCTTCACTTGTATCAGTTATATTTGCTCACCAGATAAACATCTGACTTTAATATTTTGGATTTTGTATATTAGCATCATAGTCTTCAAAACTATATATTAAAGATCAAAATCTGACATATTTTCAGATTCTGCTTGCTCTGGGTTTAATAAACTTAATAGTCCATAGGATATTGCACGTGACGCGATCTCAGGCACACTTTACATCAGTGACGCTCTAAATCATCGTGTGATGTAATACTTGCCAGGCACATCGAATAGTACTGTGGTTGCTGGCGGTAATGTTACTGAAAGCAATAGTAATCAGTTGTATTATCCGGCTGGTATGTTTTCCAATTCAAAACAAAATATTCTGGTGATCGCTAATACCAAAGCTCACAATATCGTTTGTTCTAAAAAGGTTTTTATTATATTGTTTGTTTTTTCCATCATAGTTTTCGTGTTATTTTTTTGTCGCTGTTTTGTTTTTTTCTTTATAAAAAAATAAAATAAACTGATATACCAGCCGTTCACTATACTTTCAGGAAATAGTATTGATTATCCACAAAAAAAAAAGAACGAGTGAAACATGAATCATTGGTGGAAACTAGTACGTCAATAACTTTACACTCCTTTAATACTCATGAAAAAAATCATGGCTAGTGCTCTGCTATTACAAGTTCAACAAGAAAGTCATTGCAATTTACAATCATTCACATGTGATCTATCTCAAGGTTTTGATGAATGCATCGATAAAATAGAAAACATTGGATCATTGACGAACGAACTAGATGAAGTATTGCATATTTTACTTGAAGAAAAACTAAGTAGGCAAGCTGAATTGTAGTATAATAATCAGCATTCTTTAACTACTTGGTCACAATGGAGAGCAGACTTTCGTAAAAGATTTCAACAGGCATGATTGAATCAAAATTTTTTTAGCACTCTTGACAATCAAAAACAAGAGGCTCATGAGTCAGTAAATGATTATTATGCTGTTGTTGTTTGTAGACTTTGTTGTCTTATTAATTCTAAAATATCCAAATAAATGATATTATATTTTCTTCAAAAAGGTATTAGAGAAGAAATAAAAACGAATATTACAAGGCTAATGCTAACAGAAAATGGTCCTACACCAGAAATATTTTTGAAATTTTCTAAAATCTAAGAATATGTAGAACAAAAATGAATCCTTCTATCACATACTTCTTCCAACCCACTCAATCTCACATGATGACATCAACCATTAATTCATCATCAATTGCTAAGCAATCTACAAATTTTATGTCATCTCCATTCAGACCACATCCATCAGTTCGATTATCTATCACTAAATATCTTCATTGTAATAATTACCAATCTCATCTAACTACTTAGTAACTTTTCGCATCATCATTTACTAAATAATCAAGCACGTTCATCGATAGGATCACATCCAATACCATTATCACCATGTATTATTTATGGTCGTAGTAATCATCGCACTATAGAGTGCTATGAACCTAAACCTAATGGATGTTTTGAATGTTCTTCGAGTACCATTAGTATTAAAGTTCATTTTTTGTTTTGGACAATTTTCTGCTCCTTAAAATCGAATATAAGCAAAAAATAAAAACTTCTCGATAGGTCATATTTTTGTTTGTTGTTTATAAAATGTGTGTTTATTCATGTCTATTTTTGATATATTTATTTAATAATAAAAAAAAAGAAGCAGTATATATGACCGTCCAGGAAGAAGGTCATGAAGTGCAATTTTTAATTGAGCGTTCTTAATGAAAGATTCCATACAGAATGGTAGCAGTTATTGGAAAGACAGTTACTTTTGTTCAGAACTGTATGTGTGTTCTTATGTATAAAATTAAAGACGGAAGAAAATTCGATGTATGTATTTTACTTATTGATAACATTTCGTTTCTTTTGATCGAATTAATCATTTCTCAACAAAGAATCGTTTTCTTTTTTTATTAAATAATCATCATATAAAAAAAACATTGCACACTAGAACATAAAAAATCATTGGTAGAATTAAATTTTATTTTGTTTTTTTTTTGTTTTCTATTCATCAGCTCGATTTCCACGATTAAATATTTTAAACACATTTTTTAATGGATTATCATCATAATCTTGTATTTTTTCTTTTGCTTGACGAATTTTTGTTGAATTTGCTTCATTTAGTTGACATTTGGCTTCTATAAAATGTAAAGCTTCAATTGACTTTAATTTTATTGCTGAATTAATTGCTTCATCAGCCATTCTTTGAAGAACAAAAACAAATAAGTCAATAAATGAATTTAAACACAAACATAAAACACATACTGAACTTTAGCTAACATAAATGGATGACGTTCATCATCAATTTTTGATGAATAGATAGATCGATCAATAAAACGACGAGCTTCATCATGTTTTTGATATCGAATACATACATCAACAAATGGCTACAAATATATATGTCGCAGGACAAATTAAAATCCAGTTCAGTTTTAAATCGAACTAGGACAGATTGAAATTTTAATTATTCTTAGTTTAGATTAAAATTTCGAAGTCAACTAGTTGATTTCGAAATACATTTTAATCTCAACTAATTAGCATTATTTGGTTTCTTCATTCACTTGTTGGTTATTTTAATGTGGCTATTTCACCAATTACTGGTGCATGTGTTCCCAATAGTCCTGGATCTTCTCTTTATGCTGCATTATTTTTCATTTTTATTATTAGTGTAATTTCAATAACAATACCAATGATATTTGGATATTTAACTTATCGTAATATTCATCAAACAACAGTTCTTGCTGAACAACAAGCTGATCGACAAGTGGTAAAAATGGTTCTTCTACAAATTATACTAATTATCATTTCTAATACTTCTCTTGGTGGACTCAATACATATGGATTGATTACAACTGGAGTTATTAAAAGTCAAGAACAACAATTACAAGAATATTGTGCCTTATTACTCATCAATCTTATAGTATCGATATATTATGCAGTATGTTTGGAGTTGATTAAAGTATTTTAAAGAGATATATTTTGATCGTTTTTAGGCAAGTTTCTATACATTTTTTATTTCATCAAGTCGTTTTCGTCAAACTGTAAAAGAGCGATTATTTCGTTGGCGACCTTCAAATCAAGTTCAGCCATCTCGAACTTGATGGTATGAATATCATTATTAGAGTAAAATAAACATATTTTACCAAAATTCTCATTTTATTCGATATTTTTATCTCAAAATATGATCTTTAAATAAATGTAAATGTTTTAACGTCACTATAAATAAAAAAACAAATGAATATTTCATTGCAAAAAGAATAGTATGAATGTGATTATTCATAACGAATAATATCCTCTGTCATTATTCATATTCATAATACGTGATGTACCAATAATAGACTATGTGGAGCAAATATTGAATGATGCAAAAATTTATCTAATATTTATTTTGACCGTAAAAAGAGTGAATTACGTATCTCATTCACAATGAATCATATCTAAACTAAAATCATGCTTATATTCATGTTAAATCCAGATGCTGAACGTACGCTTTTGTACATTTCTTGGTAGATGTTAATGCAACACAATCAGAATATGATATTTTACCAGGAATTATCACTGCTTCAGATTATGTTTATTTTGAAACTCATACAATCATGTTTTTACCTTCTTTTGCTGCTGGTATTCGTATACGTGAAATAGCGAAACTTCATAATGGAAAGAAAACAATGAGTTTTTCTGATCGTTTATATGAAATACTGAAGAAGCCAATTGATTTGTTATTCTGTAATCGAAATGAAGCATTTAGTTGGTCTCAAACAGGCAATATTGAAATCCCTATTGATAAATTAAAAATAATTGCTCGTACATTTGTAATTACTCTTGGTGCAGAAGATGCATTAGCCTATGATGGTATACAACTGTACAATATTGAACCTCATAAATTACATGCAATCGATACTATAATGGAGCAAATGATATTTCTGTTTGGCATTACACATGGACAAGATTATTTGACAGCAGGAAATTTAGCTAGTCTTCTAGCAGCAACAGTTGTTTCGAATTATGGACCACGTTTGTTTGTAGCGAAACAAAAAACAGCTATTAGTACAATGGAATAATCTTCCACAATAACATGCTCACATACAGAATATTGTGTAATAAGTTTATTCCCTTTATCAAAAGATGTATTCTGATCCTTTTGCTTTTTAATATTTTTCGAAGAAATACCTAAAGAAGTTTTGAATACAGAAAATGATAAATATTTTAACATTGTTTGTGGCCTATTATTTATAATCTCTCTTTTACAATTTTGAGCCATTTCATGTTCAATATCAAAAGCTTGTTGAAAGTATATTAATGCTCTAGGGTGTGGATGTAAGTGAAAAAGCGACACCAATCCCAGCCTCATCCTTACCCTCGATAATAGTATGAGATAATATGAAATATGTAACAAGATATATCTCTACATAATAATATCAGAAATGATCATAGTCAATATGACCTTAGAAAACAAATGAATATCGTATAGTTAGATGGAAAAAAAACGAAAGAATAAATAAATTCCAATCATGAAGAAGAACAAAACACATGCACATAATAACAGAAGAGAAAAGAAAACGAACATAAACGCACATATAATTCTAAAGGAATGATAAATCCTTAAAACGTTTAGTTTAGAGATAAAAGAAAAAAAGAAATATAAACGAAGTAAGAAAAGTGACCTAAAAATTTTACTTTCTTCACTAAAAGAAACAACAACCTTTGGAAAAACATACATAAACGGTATAGAATAACAATCATTTTTACAAGTTCCAAAGTAAGTAACTATTATTTGAATAATATGTTACAAAAATAAAAACTCTTATCACATATTATTGTGAAGAATATCATGATGATTCTTATTCTGAATATAATTTTATCATCGTGCGATTGAGAAAAAGAGATAATTAACAAGAAAATATATAGAGAAAGAATATGTTCGAGTATCTATGGCAATTTGCGCATAAATCATATTATGTCGACTATTTCTTAATTATTTCTCAGAGAATAGGATAATTTTTTCGTACTTACATGAGTAGATACAAACTCATTTTTACTTTCAACACTTCTTCATTCAAAATATAAAACTATAGAAGAATTTGCAAATATATTTTTTTTAGACTATAAGAGTATTTTTTAAACACAAGTTGATTCCAATTAAATAAATATATATGTATGCCGGATGAGTCAAAATAATTGCAATATCCAATATGTTACACATATATTTTATCGATAATAAATCTTAAAAACTATGACTTTATTTAAGAATGCAAAGCCATGAGGTGCTCTACAGGAATTTTTGAGTTAGTGACATAATTTTTTTAATGGTAAAACAGAAGTACTACGAAATGACGAAATATCTCATTATTCAAAAAGATATAGAGATAAAAATAACTTTGTTGATTGTGCGTATATGTTAAAGTGATTAAATTCAACAATTTCTTAGAAAAAACAACAAATAACATATGTTAATATACAGTAGTTTGGCATATTCATCACAATTTGTTTTCTTTTTATGTTTAAAAGTCAATCCTATTCATCAAAATTTTTATTCTTTTCGACAATGTTCGAATATCAACAGAATCATTTTATCTGCGTTACCGTATATAGCAATGAGTTTTTGTACATGTACGTTGATTTTTAGTAGATTTGTCTTCTAAAATATCTGTGTCATTGTTGGTGCGATAAATTACAGCATGTTAATATATGTTATCTTTGTTTCATCGACATCACTGTTACAAATCAAGAGATTTTTCACTTTAGCTATTATAAACCATTTCATAGTGTACCTTATAAAAAGAACTTCCTAATTACAGGATTTATCCCTGGTGAAATATTTATAAAATAGTCAATGTTGTAAGCGTTAGATATGAACTATAGACAAATAGTTGTTGAGAGTATGTATCTGTATATTTCACAATAGTACAGAAAAAAACAAGATACCATATAGTATCAAAATGAGAAATCATAAGCTAAGTCAATCATATAAGAAGAATGAACTGGTAATGCCAGAAATAATCTTTTGTTTATAGTAATTGTCGAAGAAAGTCTTGAGTTGCTATCCTTTCGTGTCCAGATGGAAAGACAAGCCGACGAAAAATAGGACGTTGGGCTGTTAATGGTACTAACTGTTTTATCTCACTATTCCACTCTACGCCAAGTCGATAAAAATGATTAGATCCAAGTACAATATCCCATGGAAGATCTGGTACGAATATTGGCGTGACATAGTAGTAGCCTTGCCATTGATCACCTAGATATTGACGTAGAACAACATCGTGTAATGATTGATAAAGATTAGGATTCGGTACGAAATCTAAATTGCCTGGCCCAATGTTACACAATGACATATGACCAATATCAACATCGAGATGTAGACAATCACGCATTAACCTGTTGATCAATAATTGACGAACGCCATCCAAGATGACAACACGTGAAACTTGTACGCGACCAACGTTTTCAACACTGAGATATGCTTCTTCACGTAGATTCGATATTTGAAGATCGAAGTCAACTTCGTACATGATACCGTATCATAAGAATTACTACAATGAATCTAAATAAATACGTTTGATCTTTTAGTTTTTCATTCGATTAAAATACTATCTTGTCAATTTTTATCATTTGTCTGTAAAATTATTTCTCCTAACGATCGTTCCTTTTCTATCAGTTGTGAAGGTTTGAAATAAAAAATGTCGGGTGCTTAGAAAAAGATCGTTTATCAAGATACTATCATATACAATCGTACAGATACAATTTCAACTGAATCTAATTCATATCTTTGGATGTTGAATCTTATCCTCAATAAGACAAGAGCTGAAGCATCATCAAAGAACACTGAGTAGTCTGCCGTCGTCAATCCTACATTTTCAACTTGTACTCACTAAAAGGGACATGTGCCTAAAGTATATAGTTAGTTATGTAATGGGAGACAGGATTGGACAGTTATGTTTTTCTTCTGTGACATACTCGTTTGTTATAGAGCGCATACGAAAATAATATTCTGTTCAATCAATGATCAACGTAATTCATTGTATCTGTGTTTGTTATTATCATACAATCGCTAATTCGCTGCAAATTGTATCGTTATAGATTGCACCGTAATACATTAAAATGCAAAAGCAGTCTCATATATTTTTACGTCGTTCGATAGCTGAGTGTCAAGAATGTCTATAGACGAAGACTTGATTCTTTCACCAACAAGAAGATCTAAACCTAAAAGACTTCTTTATTCATGAATTTTAATAGGATCGATAGACGCATATACTCTTTGTTAGAAACAAACATAGAACAAAGTAATCAATAAATCAATGTGTTAAAGTGTGTTAAACACTTTTTACAAGCATAAAACATTTGATTTTGCATGAATCCATATTTCGATTCTTGTTTCCTAGACGTCTGAAAACTGAAACCAGACATTAAGATACAGTTATTCGTGCCTTGTTCTCTCTCTTGCTACACAAGCAGAGCAAACGTCCTGCAGACAAAAAAAGCATCATATTATTTTTTTTCTCAATTAATTAAAACTTCACATATATTCTTCAAATCTACTGTTTGAGACAGATTCATTCTTATACTCATTTCGAAACAAAAGCAGGCCGGAAAGAAAATTCACCCGATGAATCCAATTCTTTTTCGTTACAATTCAGTGAGAAATTCTCAGATATGAACTTGTGCAAAGCGGATACCATTCAAAACTATTAGAAATAAGAAAATTTGTTAATTTCAAGTGTATAGAATATATATTGTTTGCATGTAAGCAGGCACCTCGTGACTACGAATTAAAAAAGTGCGGCGTACATCTTAACAAGTCTTCGATGTCAAGAGATGAAAAAGTTCATAATCAGTTTAAAATAGAAACAAAACCTAGTGCCACTATTGATACACTATCGTTGTACAACTAAACTGAAGCAGATATGTACGATGATCACACATTTTTGGCGTGAGGTTCGCTAACTGTTATCTTCATGATGATTAATCCGTTTTGTTTTTGATGACTTTGAACTAGTTATAAATTCATTCTAATTATCATGGATCGCAAGATATACGATAGAAATGTACGAATAGTTAGATGCAACTGTTTTATATTCTGGATATACGTTTGATTGAAAGGAAGCTTAGTACACACTTCTAATTTTTGCTCGCATACAATCATTGATGATTCGCATCTATCGTAAAACTAACTATAAAAGATAATATCATAATAGCTTGTTTTTTCAAATTATGATTTTGTGGACTGTTTAATAGTACTATTTTCGACTTTAACGCCGATATATAGTAATTTCAGATCTCATACTGCAGATATAAGTTCAGATGTGATATCTTATTAGGAATTAAGTAACTATTGACCTATTAAATTTGATGAGACTAGAAAACGCATAGTAAGGTTCATCTACACCGATTATTCTTGTCAAATGATGAGTACAATATGGGATTTTTAACCTTTGATAGTGAAATTTTAGGAAAACTAATTACAAATTGCAATCCAAAATTTTACCGAAAATATAAAGCCTATGATAATTAGAATGTCGTTCATTTTCCGCTGAAATATGTTTCTCTGTTTCTTACTCGATTTCTAACCTTAGTGGTAATTGCGTTGAATAAAAATACCACCTCTGAATGGTCTTTTGAAAGTACCTTCTATTTATGTTGAGGAACTGTAATTTTCATTACAAATTTTATTTTCATGTCTTCTTTCGTTTTCGACACGTAAAATACGTAGCTTATGCAAATAGTGACCTCTTGTTTCATTAACCAAAATCAGAGAATGATTACAGAGTCGATTGTTTGTCGAAAATATTTCGGTTCTTGTAGTTTGATGACGTCTAAATCTACAAAAGAATCCAACTCGATCCATCAACTTAATTCAGATATACATTGTGTAACATATATTACCTTGTAGAACTATCATTATATTCAAGGACATTTTATAAAAAGAAATCATTGAAAAGTTGAAAATTTAATATTTTCAAAACTGTTTGCTATGAAGTTCTTCAGATTTTGTTCTCTACGACAATTGAGATTGAGTACGATCGAAGATAGTTTTCCTTCAAGCAGAGTGTATTGTATTTCCTATAGTCAGTTATTAAATGAAATCTTATGAATTAATTTGAACTTAAAATCTTAAATTAAAAAGTATCTTATTTATATGTAAACTGGTATGTTTCTATTTTCTATTTCTAGTTAAGCCATGTCAAAGGTCGGATCTGCTGCTACTCATTGGATAAGCTGTGATATAGTATTGATTAATGCGGATCAACTATGGAAATCTCAAAATGGAATGATGCCTGAATCTGATGTCTGTCGTTTCGAAACAGTAGCTGAATTGGATACAGGTTCGTCCGAACTCGGATTACCACCAGAATACATTCAAAAACTGAAATTAGTGACACTAGGCTCACCAATTGAAATTGAATCACCACTCGATGGAAAGAAGGCGGAGGTAGCCGTCTTTGGACCTGTAATAATTGATTTTTGTGGAAAACAAATAGCAGTACCAGTTCATGAACTTAAACATACCCCTCGAGTGTTATTAGGTTTGGAACCAGCTCAACGATTAAAAATCGATGTAGATTGGATTCATTCTAAGGTTATCTTACCAAGCACTGCATATACTCACAAGGCCTATCTTATTGCTCCACAGGATCTGTTGAATCTGTTTGGACACGATGGCCATAAGATTGAAGCTTTACAACGGCAACACAAGGTATCAATCGAAATCAACAATCGGAGAAAAGTCAGCAAGATTGTTGTGATCATCTGTACGAAGGAAAACTATAATAACATTACAGATGCTCAAGCAGCTATTCAGGTAATCTGTCCAAGTCTTACTCCAGCACCTGAAGAAGAACGATCATGACTTTAATCAATGAAATAGACACGAAAATAGTATTATTTCATTGTAAAACCTTCTATTTGATCACATAAACTTACAAAAGACGTTCTCATCACATCAATTCTTTTACAAAATTAGTACTTACACAAAAATCACAATTGCGTCTGTTTCAGTTGCAATCTATTCCTTTTCACTCGTCGATGCCGAATGAGATAGAGCAAACATTCGAAAAAATGTTCATTTTTTCTCTTTCATTCTCTCTTTTTCCTGTGATGTAAGGCGTTAGGGTCATGAATACAGAGACGAGTGACAAAAAAAAGAATATGTCAGACGAGACGAGGAAGAAATATGGCAGCCGCGAAAGAAAAAAAAATGAGTAGGACGGGAAAGAAATGAGGATGATAGAACAAATGAAGGAAAAGAAAGAGAACTAGTGACGACTAATGCGTTTTCTTCGTCTAGTTGTAACCATGTCTGACACACAATATACTTCTATCGATTCTGCAAGCAAAATGTAGCAACGTGAAACCAGAAATGTAGAACATTTTACCATAGTCTGTGATCAGAAATAAAAAAACACATCTCAAAGGGCAAAATAATGTTTAGAAGTTCGAGACGGTGAATTCATTCAAATATCGAATTACGTCGAATATGTAATATGGAGAAGAAAACTAACGTCTATTGATCATTTCTTTCTGCTCTTTTTTCTATTCACACATACTTCTCACTGTTTTTTTGCTATTAATGTAACATAACGATAGATTGCTTGAAGTGCATATGAATAATTCTATACAACAGTGACACTAGATAATAAATAACCACGAAAAACACTAAGTAAATCTTCATATATAATTTGCTTAATATCATTTTGTAATACAAATATTGCCATACTTAATAAAATACATGCACAAATTAATTCACTGAGACATGTATTCACAATTAATAACATTGGTATTGTTCGACATGTTTTGTTAGAAGCAATTAGATATAATAAAATACAAGAAATACCAATTGTAATCGAGTTACATATAATTCTTAAGATATCTGTTGGAACATGCCATGGTTCAAGATTAGATGAAATGTTCAATGCCATCTTAATTAAATTATTGTTATGAAAAAAAAGAAACAAATCATGAGAAGTATATTTAAACATGACAAAAAAATTCATTGTTTTATTTAAAGTACTTATAAAATTTTGATCGATGAAATCTTATGTATTAACAAATAGCTTTCTTTTTCTATAGCAAGTGAAATAGAAAGAAAAATCTCGATGATGAGAAAGATTTTATAGATTGTAATATACCATGAAAATGAAAATACTTTTATTTTAATAGAAAATAAGAAGCTTTTAGAAAGAAAATCCTAAACAAGTAAAACAATCAGCGGAAAGGAAATGTTGAAAAGAATTTTAAATTCAAAATATCAAGAAATATTTATGTATGTAAACTTGTTTATATAAGCATCTATTACAACTGCTTCAGTTCAGTTCAACGACTGATGTCTTGTTCATTTCTATAAATCTTCAAACGAAGAAAATATTCTTTATAACTGAGGTTGTGAACGAGTGTGTATATGGATATGTTTGAAAATATATTGTACACGTTATGATACTACGTAAAAAAGTGAATTTTTATGTTGTTGATACGGATAAGCAAAACTAAAAACTGATATTTAAGAGTCATCAATGTTTATAAAGTCACTATTTGGTTCGAGAGTCACTGTTTTTCGTCTCTATGATCTATCAGATCTTCTTGTTTCGAAAAAATATCAGGTTTATTATATAAAGTTTTCTTACTTGTTGTATCGCAATTATTATAATGTCACCTGGAAGGGACATTTCGGATTTTAAAAAATAGATCGGAAAAAGTATTTCATAATACTAATGATAGATTTGAATTCCTTTACTCTGAAAACTTTTAGTTAAATGGATCTACTATAGCTATTCGGTCGATAATGTTGTTTTTTTTCCTATTTCATATGATTCTTCATATAATCGAAGCAATATCAAGAGAAATACGATAAGTTACGAAAGTGAACTATAATTTTCCTTATTTCGTCACGTTTATTCATTTGGTATTTATATCATTGCGATAATTTCAGAAAGAGAACAGTATTGTTTACGCTTTTCAAAAATTTCTCATTATTATTCTTCTCATTGATTCACATACAATAAGTATTTGCGTATACATAAATGATTGATCTAATTGATCAAAATTTTCATGTGAGATATCGCTTGTTGCAATAATAGTAATTGGAATAGTACTACGATCACACTGTCGAACGAATTCTACAAGTGATTTACAGATAGACTCAATATCTGTATATCAGTCCTTTATTTTTAATCAATCCTTTGTCATTTTTTCTTCATAATTCTTAACATAATATAAGGTAAAAACGCAAGATAGTCGTGACATTTCATGTATGATCGATAATATGACTGGAATTAATGTATCAGAAAGAATTATTAACGCTTAATTGGTATCTTGATTGTCAGTCAAAATATTGAATATATCTTCTAAGTTAAGATTTAAAACTGTTCTGTAACACTTTATACTGAACTGAGAGCGAGAGAGAAAAGGCAAGAAAATGAAGAAAGTGTTTGAAGGTTTTTTAATGTTCGAAATATTTCTAAATAAAAAGAAAAAAAATCTTCAATACCTTGATTTTCACAAAGGCTCACAGGTTTTTCTCCTGATTATCATTGAACGCGGAGTTTAATAAACTTTGCATATCTCGTATGATAATAAAATGTATTCATTAACACTTCCTATCCGACTCAAATCTCAAAATAATGATCTTTAACCCATTCGGGGCGATGGGGTCCACCGGTGGATCCCACTATATTTTCACAAGAAACTTAATAGAAAAAACTTTCTTATCTTTTATTTTTAGGCAGGAGGTTTCACGTAATGTGTGATCTGCTCTGTCTTCGCTCTTTTTAAAATCATTTATTGCATACCATGATGCTTCTCGTTAAAACAATCAAGACAAAAAATTTTCTACAATCAGAACAGAAAGTGTTTATTCTCTGTGTTGTTGCATGACACGCTTCTCTTGATTATTGTTTTCTGTTTTTATCGTAACAACCAACATAGCGTCTTTGGACATCGCAGTCAGATCCATTGTTTTGTTCGAGCTTGTGATCAGCTAGTTTGCGCTCCACACGATATAGAATGGTATCACAAGGTGCCGCTTGAATTGATGTTTGGAACGTCAATAGTTAATTGCTATTAATATATAAGGAAAACTATGAAACACGGAACATAACCATCCTACAGTTTCATGAAAGTCTCGTGCGATCTATACTTCATGGTGTACCATCCGAGAATTTTAAGTCTGATCCGAGACAATAATCAACAAGTCATTTGAGGCGCAAACCAGCTGATCACATGCTCGAAGAAAACAAAGGATCTGACTGCGATGTCCAAAGACGCTATGTTGGTTGTTACGAGAAAAACAGGAAACAACAATCAAGAGAAGCGTGTCATGCAACAGCACAAAGAATAAAACACTTTCTGTTCTGATGGTAGGGAATTTTTTGTCTAGATTGTTTTAACGAGTAGCATCACGGTATGCAATAAGTGATTTTAAAAAGAGCGAAGACAGAGCAGATCACACATTACGTGAAACCTCCTGCCTAAGAATAAAAGATAAGAAAGTTTTTTTCTGCTAAGTTTCTTGTGAAAATATAGTGGGGTCCACCGGTGGACCCCATCGCCTCAAATGGGGTAATATGTATGATGACAACATATATATGTGGTGGCAAACATTCTATTACTCTCGATGAAGCATTTTTTTAAATTGAATATACTTAAGATAATAATTTTCTGAAAAAAATGACAATCGTATTTGTTGTTTCGATCATTTTTGTAAACTTATTTTCAGTTAGTTCAATACACATGTACGTCCAATATTCTCTCACTCAGAACTTTCTAAATATGACGCTAATTACTTTCTTAATCGAAGTCACATAGATATAGTACGATGGTTAGTATCTGATAAGAAAGTTGTCATAAGAAACAAATCGGTATAAAAAAATAAATATATAGAAATTTCTCATAAAATTAATGGTATATTTCATTGTCATCGTTACATTGCATTATCTTTCAGTTAAAGAATTCACATGAAATATATTGTTTGATATCAATTATCGTTTCCAATGAAATGATGAACAGAATAAAATCTTTTTTTTATCATTTTTAAATGCAATTCATAGTTCTCGTTTGCCTTTAAATAATATGATTGATCATTTGTGTTCTATCAAGTTATAATGTATCTTTCGGAAATATCAACTACAATTCATTTTCTTCATAGTCATGATGAATAAGATTCTGTTGGTTGAAGATATTGACTTCTAACTTTTCTTACTATTTTTATTTTATTACATAAAGCTAAATAATGGATGATATTGATGTAATCATGAGATTTTGATCTTCTTATATATTGAAACAATTATTTCAATTTTTCTAGTTTTCAATATCCTTGTAATATAAGACGCATATAAAGTGTGCACTTTGTCAAATTGTTCATGCGTTCACGAAGTCATATTTCCGAGTGCATTCAAAAAAAAAGAAATAGAAATGTTTCTTTACAGATTATATTTAGATAGGATAATAGAATTCTCTACGTCATATCAATTCTCACCTTGCTAATTCTCAAATGTCACCACATTCATTGATTTCGGCATAATATAAAAGAGGTTTCTATCAGTATATTTTCCTTTCCATACATATTTTTAATAGAATTCTGTTAACAACTGTTATGTCGTTAGTATGCCTTGGTCAACAATTAACCATTTATGTTGGTTTATTTTTGCTTATTATTGGTATTTTTGGTAATGGAATGAACATTTTCATATTCTCAAGTGTTCGTTCTTATCGTATAACACCTGCTACATTCTATTTTCTAGTCGAATCAATGGCTGAAATTGTCTTTTTAACAACTAATCTTTTACATCGTGTAGTTACCTTTTATTTTGGATTTGATTTAAGTCGCACATCAATTGATCTGGTGTAGATTAAGACAAGTTTTACTCACTCTATCAAGCACAATAACTGTTACTTGTACATGCTTAGCTACAATGGATCAATTTTTTGTTACATCTTCTAATCCTTCGTTACGTCAAATCAGTAAAATTCAACGAGCATATCAAATTGTATTGATTACTAGCATTATCTGGTCTCTTCAATCGCTTATTGCTTATTTTAATGTGGCTATTTCACCAATTACTGGTGCATGTGTTCCCAATAGTCCTGGATCTTCTCTTTATGCTGCATTATTTTTCAATTTTATTATTAGTGTAATTTCAATAACAATACCAATGATATTTGGATATTTAAATTATCGTAATATTCATCAAACAACAGTTCTTGCTGAACAACAAGCTGATCGACAAGTGGTAAAAATGGTTCTTCTACAAATTATACTAATTATCATTTCTAATACTTCTCTTGGTGGACTCAATACATATGGATTGATTACAACTGGAGTTATTAAAAGTCAAGAACAACAATTACAAGAATATTGTGCCTTATTACTCATCAATCTTATAGTATCGATATATTTTGCGGTTTGTTAAGACTTCATTAAAGTATTTGAAAAAGAATTATTTTTGATTATTTTTAGGCAGGTTTGATACATCTTTGATTTCATCAGGTCGTTTTCGTCAAACTGTAAAAGAGCGATTGTTTCGATGGCGACCTTCAAATCAAGTTCAACCATCTCGAACTTGATGATATGATCATCGCTAATAGAGAAAAAGAAACCTGTTTGACTGAAATTGTGATTTCACTTTATATTTATTGCAAAATATAATCATTGCATAAACATAAATGTTGTAACATCAGTATAAAGAAAAAATAAATGAATATTTCATTTCAAAAAGAAGAGCATGGATGTGTTTAAAATGGATGAATAAGTTAAGGTATACATGTGAATATGAATATTATATTCAAATCACCTTCACCCTGCACTGTACTGCACTCCACGTTCAAGATATCAGTGGTAATGTCATCAAGACAATGATGACAATTTTTTTTATAAATATTCTGAAAGAGAGAGAATAGAAAAGTTGTCACAGTTTTAGGCATCCAAGTAGAAATGTTGAAATGACTGATTATCCTTTTCATTAACAACAATTATGTAAAAACACTTCGATTGTCGTAGTTATACTTATCATTATATGTCCAAATAATTTAGCAGATTTTTACTTGAAGGAAGTCAACTAAAAAATTGCATGAAAATCGTGGATATGTTTGACTATTTGCTAGAATGTACTTCAAAAATGATCTGTTTTCTCCAAAGATTATTTGATAACAGAAGAAAAAACAAATTAACGAGAGGGTATGAAAGTAGAAATCGTGAAAAAAATTCTGTGTAGTTCAACTGGGCTCTCATTTTTGTAAAATAAAAAGTTCATTTGCTTTGTAATGATTGATGACTAATTAGAATTCAATGCATTCATGGAAATATTTTGGCAAGATGATATCAAGAAGAAACATATATATTGAAACAATAATTACAGGTAAAGATACACCAGGTGCTGTAACTAATTTCATAAGACATCGTAGCCGATGTGTAACTAATTGACCGATTTGAACACTAATCATAGCTCCAAATGCAACACATATTTTATTCATCATTGGTGCAGATGGCGAAATTGTAATTAAAACCAAAATATTGTAGACAAAAAAATCTCCAAGACCAAGTTTATACGATTGTTTCCATTCATAGTATACGATGAGCGGGGGGCAGCGAGGGGATTCCCCCCCCCCCCCCCCCCCCCCCCCTTTTTTTTTTGTTTCTTTTTCTTTTTGGATGTTTTTTTTTTTTTATTATAGTTGTTTTTTTTA